TGTGGAGACAGGGTTTCGCCATGTTGCTTATGCTGGTCTCGAATTCCTGAGCTCAGGCAATCTGCCTGCCTTGGCCTCCTGAAGTGTTGGGATTATAGCCATGAGCCACTGCACCTAGCCTACTTTTTTTTTTTTTTTTTTTTTTTAAAGTAGAGACAGAATCCTGTAATCCTAGCACTTTGGGAGGCCAAGGTGGGTGGATGACCTGAGGTCAGGAGTTCTAAACCAGCCTGGCCAACATGGTGAAACCCTGTCTCCACTAAAAATATAAAAATTAGCCAGGTGGGGTGGCACACGCCTGTAATTCCAGCTACTTGGGAGGCTGAGGCAAGAGAATCACTTGAACCTGGGAGCCCAGGAGGCGGACGTTGCAGTGAGCTGAGATCCACCACTGCACTCCAGCCTGGGCAACAGAGTCAGACTCTGTCTCGGAAAACAAAAACAAAAAACAAAAAAGAGACAGAATCTTACTGTGTTGTCCAGGCTGTTCTCAAACTCCTGGTCTTAAGAGATCCTGCAGTGCCTTGGCCTCCAAAAGCACTGGGATTTTGCTTGTGAGCCACCACACCCAACTAGTTTAAATTGCATTTCTATTCCTTGTCCCCGAAAGCCTTTAATTGAAACATCTCCCTTCTCTGGGCTTTGGGGAACCTACATTACACCCCACCAGTCACTTTTCTTGATATTTTAAGGGTCTGACCTTTTGAATATTCATTTTCCATGTCCCTGCAGTTACAAGATAGGGGAAGAAAGAAAAATCTGTCATAACATGAAAATATTCACTAATAAAAGGGCCACTTATTAAACTGGCCACTTTATACTAGCATCTGTCCCACACCCATCTCATCATAACAACCCGATGGAACCCAATATGAAGCAAAACCACATCTTGGAAAAGGGGAGGCCGAGTGGTGTTGGTCAGGGGGACATGGGAGAACTCGAATCGCAGGCAGAGCCACTGATGCGGGGCTGTGGCAGGGCTGGACTGGATTTACAACCAAGGAAGAGAAAACCAGCAGGATAAGCACCAGCCAGGAGCATCAGGAGAGTGCTCTGCTGCTCGAAGAAAACCTTTAGAAAAGCCAACAAGGCTGGGCGCAGTGGCTCACGCCTGTAATCCTAGCACTTTGGGAGGCCGAGGCTGGTGGATCACGAGGTCAAGAGATCGAGACCAGCCTGACCAACATGGTGAAACCCCGTCTCTACTAAAAATACAAAAATTAGCTGGGCGTGGTGGTACGTGCCTGTAATCCCAGCTACTCGGGAGGCCGAGGCAGGAGAATCACTTGAACCCAGGAGGTGGAGGTTGTAGTGAGCTGAGATCATGCCGCCAAAAAAAAAAAAAAAAAAAAAAAAAAAAAAAGAAAGAAAGTCAACAAAGGCCTAAGATATTTTTGCAAAAGTGACCCTCCTCATGATAAAGCTGCAAAAAGAAAACCTCCAGAAACAAAAAAAACAAAAACCATAAAGGTAAGGGTGCACCATTGTGTTCTTACAGAGTGTTATTGGAAAAATTACTCCAAAAGGAATAATCAGTCCTAAATCATTCTGTGTTTGGTCTAAGAATGAGAGCACTGTACTGCAGTCATAGAGATTATTTTTAAAGAATGAAATGACTAGACTAGGCACGGTGGTTCACACCTGTAATCCCAGCACTTTGGGAGGCCGAGGTGGGTGGATCACTTGAGGTCAGGAGTTAGAGACCAGCCTGGCCAACATGGTGAAACCACATCTCTACTAAAAACACAAAAATTAGCCGGGTGTGGTGGTGGGCGCCTGTAATCACAGCTACTCAGGAGGCTGTGGCAGGGGAATTGCTTGAACCTAGGAGGCACAGGTTGCCGCAAGCTAGATTGCACCACTGCACTGCAGCCTGGGTGACAAGGTGAGGCTCCATCTCAAAATAATAATAATAATAATGAAATGGCTGAAAATATTACCTGGTTTTATTAAATAGTATGATAACTCATTTTCATACATTGTAGCTTTATTTTTCAATCTCCAAAGAGTCCCCATTTTATTTTTATTTGTATTATTTATTGAGACTGAGTCTTGCTCTGTCACTCAGGCTGGAGTGCAGTGGCGTGATCTCGGCTCACTGCAACTTGCACCTCCTGGGTTCAAGCAATTGTCATGTCTCAACCTCCCAGGTAGCTGAGACTACAGGCGCCCGCCACCATGCCAGGCTAATTTTTGTATTTTTAGTAGAGTCGAGGTTTCCATGTTTGAACTCCTGACCTCAGGTGATCCGCCCGCCTCGGCCTCAGAAAGTGCTGAGATTACAGGCGTGGACCACTGCGCCCGACCCAAGAGTCCCCATTTTATATGGACTCGCTGAGTGGACTTCCCACGACCAAATATTATTGGAACACAAAGACCCCTGCTCGGGAGGTGCTGTTCGGAGCCATGGCCCCTTGCTGGGCCTCTCACTGCGCAGGTGGAAGCCCTGCAGCACCCAGGAGGGGCAGGCAGGGAGCCTCCCGCGGCTGATCCGCGTGACCGGGGTGAGGCCACGCGGAGAGTCCGGGCAGGTGAGGGGCGCGGGCTCCCGGCCGGGGCTCCGTCAGGTGGACTCGGCACTTGGAGAGCCCGCTAGCCCACGGGCGCCAGGGCCGCCCTGCAGCGCCTCCCGGTGGCCAGCTCCCCGCCGGCACCTCAGTGGCGAGCACCGCCCCCGCCCGCGGGGCCTCCCCGTGCTTATCAGCATAACCCCACCCTGGCCACCGTGAGTGGCCCAGGGCTGCACGGGGAGCCAATGAAACACAAGGAGCGTCTGCAGGCGTTTCCGGGCCTCAGTGGCGTCCTCTCCCGCAGACCCCGTTCTCTGCCAGCCTGAGGAGGGCTCGGAGTATGATGACCGACGAGGCGGGAAGTTGTGACTCTGAGGGGACCGTCCAGAGATTCTGGGGGCTGCAGGTAGAGCCCAAACATGGCGGCAAAAGAAACAGGGCCCTTAGTAACATCAGCTGAGCTGCTGGGTCAGGCTTTGCCTAAAGCCAGGGCTAACCCTGAAATTTCGTGTTTTTTGAGCCCATGACTCTGATTCATAAAATCCTGCATTCAGCGTCCCCCAGTGCAAGCCGAGAACGGGCATGTTGCTTAGCAGCAACCAATGTGAAAATCCCCGGGTGGGGATTCTTGCTTCAATGTGAGACCGCGTGACTACAGCTTAGGTCATAATAGCTGAGATCTCACTGGGGAGGTGCCTGTATCTCCCTACTCCACGGGCTCCAGCCTGGAGAAGAAAAGACACAAGGGAATAAGGTCACTGTCTCCAAGACACAAGGATAGAGGCAAGTACCTGGTTATATGGCCCCATAGGGAGGTGTTTAACTGGGGTGAGACAGCAAAGATGGGAGTTGGGGAATCAAAGGGAGGTGATTTTAGCTCACTGGGAGGAACAACTTTCTCGCAGGAACTGCTGATGAAGAATGATGATGATGTGCTGTGGAACGCAGTGAGCTTCTTGGCAGAGGAGGTATGTCAGCAGGTAAGGGACTTCAGCGGCTGGAATTGTGAATACAGTTGGAGGTTGAATTAGACATACCGAAATCCCACTATGAGATGCTGCTGCTTCTTCTATTCCCTAAATCATTTAAGGGTTTCAACAAGCAAAATGAGATAGAGGGACAGCTCTTACCAAGGGGCCTGTTTAAACATTTCCTGACACAGGCTGCCTGGGGTGGACTGGATCCCCACACTCCACCTCCTAGCACTTGCATGTGTCTTAGAAAGCCTGCTCCAGGCACAGCTTCCTGCACGGACAGCAACGACAATACCAACGAAACCCTTCAGTGTTCTGAAAGCCACTCTCAATACTTCAAACATCTTCCTCACAAAAACCCTGTGACATAGGTAAGGTCATCATCTCCATTTACAGAGGAGGAAACCAAAGCTCCAAGAGCTGGAGGAAGCTGTGGAGGAAGAAGTGGAGGAAGCCGCACGGTGCGAGAGGCGGGGTCTGCACTCAGGCAGACGGCTGCAGGCCCGCATGCCAGGCATAAGGGAAGCTTGGAAAGCACACTCTGGAATGACCCGGCCCAGCTGCCGTCGTCAGTGGGTGACTCCAGGTCACAGGCAGTGAAGCTGGGAAGAGAACAGAGCCATCTGGAGAGCAGGACAGATGAGGACACTGGAATTTTCCAAGAAGTAAAATGTGGCTGCAGAGAAATGGAACAAGTGCTTCCTCAGGGAGCCCTGGGGCGTGCTACTGTTGTCTAGTGAACGGTATTCAACTGCTTCTCCCATTGCCCCTCTCTCTGCTGGATTATTCAGCAGGATCA